ACGCCGACGTCTCCTCTGATGATGAGCGCTAGTGTCGTGGTAGCAACATGCTATGTGTTTACATCCATCGCTGCCATGTTTGTAATGACTTATCATGAGAACAAACGTATTCACGTGACTTTAATAACATTTMTTACTTAATGGAAACACTGCAGTTATGAAACTGTTTTTCGACATTAACAGAATATCAACAAAGTTTTGCGCACATTTGTAATGGAAACACAGCGTATTTCTGCAGTGAGGTTCATTCTTATCAAAAATGTTTTTAAACGAGGCCAGGATCGGACCCCCCAGTTTTAATCCATGGGTTGGATTATGTCTTCTGTTGTGTTGCTGCTCTTTATGGGACTGTTTAATCAAATGTCTTACACCTCTTTGCTCTTACACTTATTAATTACTTAATTAATGATCGAATTAAACAAATGACTTTGTTTTCACTGCTTACATCATAATAATTTGAACATTTTCTCCCCTCTTATTTGCAGTCGGAGGCCAGCGAGCTTCTTTCTGCACCTGGGATGGTGCCATGTGACAGGGCGGCTGTGGAGCCCTAACCCTAGTGCTCCATCATCTCAAATTCAAGCCTGTTTGTCCAACACCGATCTGTGAACCGATCCCGGAATCAGGCCATCACAGCCCCCCACATGACTCACCTACCAAAGCCCTAGATCAAGTAGGTGCTGTTCATTGTGTGCTTTATACTGAGTGCTGAAATACTTCAAAAACCCATTTGCTCCACTTGAGAAGCATACAAAATGGTATATTTATTCTGTGAAGCAACAACAAGCGGTTCATTTACACAATGATGACGTTAATAAGCCTGGTGTTGCATTTAAACAAGCTTGGGAAAAGCGTCGAGCTAGGTTCAAAATTTAAAAACATGGAAACAATTGAAGTTCAGCAGCTTAGTTGTTGCCATAATACTTTATATCTACTGTATGTGGTAATGCAAAACCAAATATCAAATAATTAAAAAAGGGAATATATATGTATATTTTTCTATGTTTAGATGTATTAAACAATTGTTCGTGTCCAATGCATGTATCTATTGAACCGTTCATTAAGGGCTGGGTGATATGGCCTAAAATCAAAACAATGATAAATTGACCAAATCACCTCGATAACGATAAATGCACGATAACTCTTACCACCCCCACCACACACAAGTACACAGTATAATATAGTCATAACATTATACACTGTGTCCATGTTCTCAGTCAAAGTACACAGTTTAGATTTTGAACAGTTTTTCTGTAGTTTATATTTGTCATTTTAGTGTTTTTAATATATTTAATAAAAACCATTTTTGGCAAGACTTGAGTCAGATATAGTCATACAAATATTTAAGCATCTCCATAACATTTCAGTGCAAACAATCACATTATGTATTATAATTTTATATTTGAAAAAATAAACCAAATACTTATATTTATCCATGTTTAATACAATCTCGAGTATAATACGATCATAAWTTTTGAGCTTAAAAAGCATAAAAAATCTAATCACCAATAACCCGTGTATAATACTACCCCTCTAATTTATGGCTGATTTTAGGGTTAAATTTCTAGTATTATACATGAATAAATACCGTATGTCTTTTGTACTGCACAAATAACTTAAATACATTTTTTAATTGTTAGACTGGCTGATTCTCTATTAAAATAATTATTTTTTTCAAAAAGATTATATAATTTAGAGAGCTCGTGTAATCATTTAATACAATTTTATTCTTCATATTTGATCATTTATTGAATCACAGAGCCGTTCAGTCACAGTATGCTTCTAAATATAAGCAAGAAATATTGTGAAGAATGAAAT